AATTTGATAATTGTGACATTAGACTATTCATTTGGGATTGTTCTTCCTTCTTTAAGTATGCCTGGATTGGTATATACTTTACTCTTAAGACTGCTTTTGTTGCGTCCCACAGAAGTTGGGGCTTTGTGTTGTTGTTGTCATTTGTTTCCATATATTGCTGGATCTCCATTTTAATTTGGTCGTTGATCCATTGATTATTTAGGAGCATGTCTTTAAGCCTCCATGTGTTTGTGAGCCTTTTTGCTTTTTTTGTACAATTTATTTCTATTTTTATACCTTTGTGGTCTGAAAAGTTGGTTGGTAGGATTTCAGTCTTTTAGAATTTACTGAGGCTCTTTTTGTGGCCTAGTATGTGGTCTATTCTGGAGAATGTTCCATGTGCACTTGAGAAGACTGTGTATCCTGTTGGTTTTGGATGTAGAGTTCTATAGATGTCTATTAGGTCCATCTGTTCTAGTGTGTTGTTCAGTACCTCTGTGTCCTTACTTATTTTCTGTCTGGCGGATCTATCCTTTGGAGTGAGTGGTATGTTAAAGTCTCCCAAAATGAATGCATTTCATTCTGTTTCCTCCTTTAATTCTGATAGTATTTGTTTCACATATGTTGGTGCTCCTGTATTGGGTGCATATATGTTTATAATGGTTATATCCTCTTGTTGGACTGAGCCCTTTATCATTATGTAATGTCCTTCTTTATCTCTTGTTACTTTCTTTGTTTTGAAGTCTATATTGTCTGATACTAGTATTGCAACACCTGCTTTTTTCTCTCTTTTTGCATGAAATATCTTTCTCCATTCCTTGACTTTTAATCTGTGCATGTTTTTGGTTTTGAGGTGAGTCTCTTGTAAGCAGCATATATATGGGTCTTGCTTTTTTATCCATTCTCTGACTTTGTGTCTTTTGATTGGTGCATTCAGTACAGGTGCTTTCTCTAGGAATTAGCTAACCCTGAGAGGGACAGTGGTAGTATTGTCAGGAGGTCCCAGGTACAGCATCACAAATACAGAAGATCAGAAGAGATGCTTAATACAATCTGTTGCATGTATATATGACTAAGGTAACCTTCTAATTGGTTTACCGTATTTGCTTTCCTATTATCTAGCTTTGATGCAGCAGCTAGAGGAATCTTAAAAGTATAAATTATATCATGTTATTCTTCTGATTACGATTCTTTTCTTGCATATCTAATAAGCCCAATCTCTTTATCTTGGTTTTGAGGCCCTTTGTTATCAGGCTCCTGCCTCCATCTGAAACTACATTGTGTTCTACGTTATTCTTCACTCACTGTATTTTAGGCACTGATCTTTCAACTCCTGGAAGATGGTTTACTGTTTCCTCAGGGCCTTTGCACAGACAGTTCTTGGTGCATGGACACTCTTTATCTGGTTAACTTCTGGCCAACCTTTGAATCTTATCTTAAATTTATTACACTGAGGAGGCCTTAAATAGGTCCCTTCTGTTGATTTTTCTGTGATTGTTCATTTGTTCACTTACTCATTGCTTTTGTTTGTGCATATCAGAAGGGAGGTACTAAGGATAAAATGGAAAGATTGGCACCGATCCTCATTCATGGAGCTTCTTTTCTTCTAGGGGAGGCAGACAAAAGTCAGTGATAAAGTAATTACAAGATGTTGTAAGTGTTTTAAAATAATAAAGGTATAAATAGAAGATATCAGAAGATGACCAATAGTAGGCCATTGTTATATATAAACCTTGGGGTTTAAGCTTTCTTTCTTCTCCAAATCTAATTGGTAATCCACAGCCAGTCAATGGAGGGAGGATATGTTCTTGTTAAATCTCACCTGTGTCTGCTTTCAAAGTTTTTTCACATACTCCTGTGCTTTCCAAGCCAGGGGCTACCATGGAATTTGGATGTTATTCCATTCTTTCATATGAACTAGGAATAATTTTATTTGCAGAAATGATGAATGCAAATTAAGTCAGCCAGTTTATCTCATAGTAGTCCTCCTTCTCTTCTTACTAGTTAGTAATTTTATTTATTTGTGGGCTCACTTCTCTAATACATATGCTTTTTTGCTCATTTGTGCTAGATGAGACCCAGAATTGTGTCTGTCTTGTTGACCAATGTGTATTGAATAAACATCTGGTCTAGGGCCTGCTTAAGTAGAGGGTCAATGAAGAAATGTTGAGTGAATGATAGAAACTATATTTGGGAGTGTGTCCTTAATGCAACTGTTTAGGTCTGCCTGCTTAAGTGCTTTTTTTGTTTAAAATTATTAAGGCCATGTCTTGTGGTATAGAACTGTTGAAATTGATTTGTCTACTTGATTGTGTTTTAGAATAGACCATGAAGTATTTTCTGAAGGAAATTTTACCTTTTCCCAAAGGCATTCTCTTGCCTCACCCCTAAAGAGAGATAAAACTGCCTTTTCAGGTAGCTGCCCAGGTAAGAATCCCCAATTTTTGTAAGAGCTGGCAATCCTACCCTTAGAATAGGTGATTGCTTATTATATTTTGTATGATAAAATACTCATTTTCTATGTGCTTTTGAGTGAACATAAACCTGAGCTCACTGCTACGTAACACCTTTCAAAATTTTGAATGAGAAATTAATATTTAAGGAAGTTCTTTGAAGGATATGAAATCTCTCTTTTGGAGTGAAGTTTAACTGTGGGTTTACATATAAAAGTCACCAATAGAGCTTTTAAGAGACCCACTGAGTTAGAACCTCAAAGGTATGGGGCGTGGGTCACAGGTGGTTGTGATACACAGCCAGGTGTAAGAGCAGTACTCCCTGAAAAGGTTTCTACACAGGCACTTACATCCCAAGAAGTATATGTAAAGAAAGTTTTTTAAGTTTCCCATAAATTGAAGTTCTGGGCCTGTAGGTTATTTTCAAATGTTTGTAAACAAACACTGTTCTTAAATTGTTTCTGTGAACATATAAGAATTCCTAATATTCCTAGCACCTAGAAAAGTTGAGTATGTCTGCAAATTTAAGGTGAGATAGAGAGTAATGAGAAATGTTAAGTAGAGAGACTTTGAAAGACCCTCTATGTGTGATATGAAACAGTTAAGACTTTTTCCTTCTGGTATTGGAGAACCATTGGAGTTTTAACAAAAACTGGGAGAACAATATGATCAGCTTATTTTGCTTTACTTTTAAAGAAGAGAACCTTGTCAATTGTATGGAGCATAGATTAGAATGCGGGAGAAAATTATGACAAAGAGATCAGTTGGGAAGCAAGTGTGTGCAAGAAGTAACAAGCAGTAGGGGTAAAACAGAATTGAATTCTAGCCCTGTCGCTGCCTTTTTAGTTCAAGCCCTTAAACTCCAACTAATCTGCTCTACCCTTGATTTCAAGATTTAGCTAAAATTGTAAAAGCTCTGCTGTGAGAAGTCTTCCCTGATTGTCTTTTTAGCCTCTTCTTTTTTGTCTCTGTCTTGCCAATGGGTTTCAGCCCCGGGCAAGTTTGCTATGGATGCAGCGTGACCACAGAAATGACAGTAAAATGCTCTTGCGTTGAAAGGGTTATACCCAACTTTATTTCCATGGTGGCAGGTCAATCACTAAAATCCCGTTCACTCAGAGTGAGTAGGCATGCAGCAAGCCGGTCTCTGCCTCTTGGGCCCCTCTGCCCACATTGCTGTCCTCTGAGCCTCTCTGCCTGCACAGTTGTCCTGCACAGCCGTCCTCTGGTCCTCTGCCCTCGGCGCTGCTACCACTCCAGCCTCTGCTCTGCTCTTCTGCCGCCTTGCAGTGGTGCCACCATGTTACCCAGAGCCCTGGGCGGAGCTCTTTATATAGAGTCAATAGCAATGTATTGCCCACACTGTGTAGTGAGCTAGCCAACCAGGGCCAAGTGAGAATCCTGACCACAGGAACCTTCATTTTATCCACAGTCTCTTTATGTGGTCTTTATATACTTTCCCAAACAACATTTTTTTGTTGTCATTTTTTGCTTATTCGATACCTGTATATTATTTATTTTAGACTGACTCCACTTTTCATGAGGGCTACTACTAGACAAGAAGTATATCTATTGAACAAGTTGTCCCCTAAACAGCCATTCTTGTTTTTTTCCCTTTCTATTTTTGTGCCTTTGCTTATGGCCTTTCTCTTTTCTAGCATGTTCTTATATTTCTTCTTCACCCCCATTTCAAAGTTTTAATCTTTTTTTCATAATTCAAGTTCCACCCTTTCTACACAGTTCTTTCTGATGGCTCTCCCACTGTTACTTCTTCTTTTGCGCTCTTGTAGTGTTTAAGCTATCTACTCAACTACTTGGTTTATGTTACTTTGTATTTTTTTTCTTTTTTTTTATCTTTTTATGTATTCTGTGAGTATGGATATACTGCTGCTTTGAGTTGGGCAGGATGTTTTGTGTATGTAAGTGTTTATAGCATACCCTTGTTAAATATTAATGGCGATGGCCCTCTCTGTTTCCTAAAAGCAGCTTGACTATAAACATAGTTTATTTTGCTTAGAAAGACATAAAACCTCAGTTGAGAAATATTTTAAATCGTTAATTTTTTAAATTATCTGAGTTAAAAGCCAAAGACATTGTAGTTATTTTTCTTCAGAATTTTAAAGGCCAAAATAAAAGAAGATTGAAAAACATTTTTTATGCTTTTTTGAAATGTTGAGTATTTTTAAGTTGAGTGTTAATATTTGACTGAATGCAAAATCTTTCAGAAGATGTGTATTTAAAATACTTTAGTTAAGGGAAAATACTTTTCATTTGTTCCTTATGTTAAGTAGTAAATCTTTTGCCAAAACAAATCCGTATTTTCTTGGGAATCACTCAAAACATTTAGGCCTCTTCTGGTTTGTAATCCTGTCAAATTTCATCCATGAATTAAAGCCTAATTAGACACAGTTGGTGAGCCCTTCATATAGACAACTCAATGTGCAATAAAAGTTTACTCATCAAGTTTACTCTATGGAACATTATGAAATGATGAAAATACTTTGGTATTGGGATTAAGAAGTAATTTTCTTTGGGAATTAACTAAGTTTAATTGTATTTTTTCTTTAGCCCATATGTCGTAAAGTACTATGGCAGTTACTTTAAGAACACAGACCTCTGGATTGTTATGGAGTATTGTGGAGCTGGCTCTGTCTCAGACATAATTAGATTACGAAACAAGACAGTAAGTATTTTTGCATTGTTTTGCTAATCTCATTTCTAAAGATTCATATTTTAGAATCTGATTAGGGAGTATTTTCTTACCAAAAAAATATTAGAATGCAAAAAGAAAAGGTTTTATGCTGTAAAGGGATCTAGTATGAGATGTGAGAACTAGCCACATAGCTTTGTATGGCAGATTTAGGAGTTACTACTTTTTAATTATTAAGATAATTTTTGGTAAATCACTGAGAAACCACCATGGTATGCTTCTTCATTTGAATCAGTGTGTCTGTTCCTTATTAATGTGAGCTCAATAAATTATGGCTAGAATTTTACTTAAGGTTCATACTACTCATGATATTTATCTTGTTTCTATGGCTGGTAAACAGTTGAAGTTTCATGTTTCTGAATTTTTAAAAATAATTGGAAAACAATTTTTGGCTTAATTTTCCAAGTATCATTAGGATGTATAAAAGTGATAGAGCTAGATCATAATCTTTTTTTTGGTGAATTTAGCTTAGTGAAATGTATTATTTAATAATAACTTTTTATGGTTTTTAACCCTAAGTAAAAGAGCTATTTACAAATTGTTTACTTTAGGCTAGCAGTGCATTTAGTTTACTTGGATAATTTATAAGGATGAAAGTGACCTTTTTATTTGTGAATGAATAAGAATAATAGTAAAATAATTTGTAATTCTGAAGAACAGTGACCCAGTTACCACTACATGACATTATATGTTGTCAGACATATTTCAGTAAAATACATTCAGAAAAAGACATAACAACTTCAATCAATTTGTGGTTAACCAGAATCATTTTAAAGTTTGATTGGAGAAGTATGTTGTTTATCCTACTAATTTTTTTTCTGTTAGAGAAATAAAGAAATAGGGTTCCTTTTAAAGGAAGTGAACAGAGGTTGTTTTAACAGAATGAATTAAGTGATTTGTGATATTTTAATTAGATGGTTTAGAATTTCTATGGTGCTTAACTAGCTTTTATGTAAATCAGATGACTCTTGAGTCTCAGAACAATGCTCTAATTAAAAATAATTATAGTCCAATTAGAGAAATGTTTTAAAATCATTTTAGAGCTATACTCAGTGCATTTGGTATTTAAAATTACCAAGCAGAAATATGAAAATATGAAATAAAAATGTGTGAAATATAAAATGTATTTCTTGAATTTAAATGTTACTGTTACCATTTTGAGCAGATAGGAAGTATTTGATCCAAGTACTTTATTTCTTGTTGCATTAATTACAAATTCTGATGGTGTGCTATAGTTGAAAAGGAAGGATATGGTAGGATTATTATCTTCAGTAATCTCCTTCACCAGTTATTAAAGGAAAGATTTTATACCATTCTCATACTTTTTAAAAGACAGAATCCACTGAATGTGTTGGGGAGTCATACATTTGAAATAGTCTAATTGTTATTCTCCGAGAACAGTTACTCTTGGGCCAGGATGGCATGGAAGAGTTTCATTCCCAGATATGAAAAAGATCTCAGAGCTGCGTGAGATGGGTCAGGAACTGTAGGTTTATTGTCTCTGGGTGTTGCCTTGATAACAGCTCCTGTTAAACTCAGGAATATTTGTATCTTTTATTTTGGTGTGTTATCTGAAAAGAGTACTATTGTGAAAGTTAGCAATATAAGGAAGGATATGTGACATATAAGGATATGTACTCCCTCCCCTTTTAAAAATGCCTGGACATTATAAGTATGTGATGATTTTATAGGAATGTTTACTGGAGTAATAACCTTGACTGTCTGAATTTCAGAGGCATGGCTGTTACTGATTGGCTGGTTTTCAAAAATGTGCTGAGTAAAACAGTTGTCCTTGATCTATTAAAACTCACTCTAGTAGTTACTTTTCGTGGTCACAGAACACCAGTCTTTTCCTAAGAGAATAGGAACTTTTTCTTAGGGTGTATATGCTCTTGTTTTTTGTTGGTGCTTTGTTGTTCAGTTTATTAATTTATTAATAAATGATGTATTATATAGAATATATTCTATAAAACATTATAAATTATTTAACATTTTAAATAGCACAAGGCATTTTTATTACTCTTTTATATTGTCACTGTTTATATTTATGCTTTTTATTACTCTGTTCTTTTCTACATTTTTTGGTTGCCTGAGGAACAGTATCCTTTAGTGTTTCCTTATGTGTGGATATGACGGTGATAAGAGCTTGGTTTTTTGCTTTTTGTGTTTTTGGTAAGAAAATATTATTTCACTTCATTTTAAATGATGTTTGTGGGATAAAGAATTCTAGGTTGGCAGTTTCCTTTTAAATTTTTTACTTGTTATATGAGGAATGACTCTTGGAAAACCACCTAGTATACTTTTTGTAGAATTATGCTTGTCTTTGAAAGAATTCTTATTAGGAATGAACTGTTACTGATTTCTACATTGCTATCTGGTTTTGATCAAATGTTTCCTTGGCACATTTTAAAGGCAAAGGAAAAAACAAATCTGATTAAGTATCTTTAAAAAAACATGTAAGTTCAATCTTTTTAGCCTGAAGTGTAACACTGTTTACATCTTACCTCATGCCTATTTGTACAATTTGATAACTTACCACTTTTTATTCTGCACTTTTGACTACAACTTCACATGAAGAACTGGTTCCTAAAATAAAAACTGGATTCTTTTTTGTTTTGTTGTATGCTATAGCTTGGGGAAGAGGGGGTTCCCTGCCTGGGGCAAGTTTGCTGTGAATTCCATGAGACCAAAGAAAGGCAAGGGCAAAAAGTTGGGAGTAAAGAGTTAGTTACCATGTTTATTCTCAGGATGGTCACAGGCAACCCAGTGCATGCAGCTGGCTTGATTGTGCTCCCCAGGCCAGATGATACAGGTTCTGCTCCCCAGCAGGAGCTTAATCCTCTAGGCAGTAGATCTCTGTCTCTCCTCTCTCCCCATCCTCCAGGCTCCCTGCTCTCATGGTCAAGCTTACTTCTCCAGGAGCAGTGTGGCTCCACAGCTCTCTCTGTACCACCTGGCAATGCCCAGCCCCCTACTCCCATGCTCTGGGAGGAAATCTGTGGGCAGGTCCTGGTGACTGGCAGTCACCTGACCCATTATGTACCAGGGACTGAGGAGAGGAGAGAATGGGTGTTTCCTGTCCACCCCTGTCAGGTCCTGCACTCCCCTGACTGACCAGGGGCTCTGTCTCTGGTAAACATCCCATAAATGTGCAAACATGCTTTTATTATATATGCAATGGGTGCTATTAAGGCCAGGCAAGAATCCTGGTCAGCAAGTTCCTTTTTCCCCACAATGCTATTGCCTCATCCTCTCCCCCACCTTTCAGTTTCCCTACCCCCTAGTCTTTGCCTAATAAATTTGCATTCATGAAGGACCAGCTCAAATATCACCTCCTCTTTGAAACTTTCCCCCTTTTCCCAGGTGATTTATTATCTGTTTGGTAATTGGTTGATTAATTAGGTGAGTCTTTATTGCATATTCACTCTTACACAAAGAAAGAGCATGGTAAGTTCTAGCTGCCATTATTATTATAATTTTACTACTGTTATTATTTCACATATTTTGACTACTAGGTAGACTTTGTGTATTGGCTGTTTTATTTCTTTTTTGTGCCTGTCCTTTGCTTTTTTTTTAAATTGTTGCTGTTGGCCTTTTTCTTACCAGTTTGCAGAATTGTCTGACAGTTTGCTGATAGTTATTTGGGCACTTCATTTTAAAAGTGAAAACTAATTATCTGATTGTCAGCATGGATATTTAAGAAGGAACCTGTACTTTTTCATTGGGATACATCTAGGTAAAGATGAAGGCATAGAATTAGGTTTAGGGGTTAATTAGCATACATCAGTGATTGAAACTGAGGCTGAGTAGCAAAGCATTGGGATTATGTCTTTGAAGTACTCCTGCTTAACATGAGGTAGGTCCCAGAGTTAGTATTTGAACTGATAATGAATGGTAACTGGTAATTCATGGTTGAGGTAGGAGAGGTAGGATGAAAGTGAAACTCTCCTGTATTCCAGTGGGTGATTAAAATTTCTCTGAGTCTTCTGGTTGCATTATGAATGAATGTCACCATTTAGTTAATATTCATGTATTCTTTATGTTTATAAGTATTAAGGGATCTATAAATAAGTATCTTTGAGTTGAATTCCTGATTTCTGTGATCAAACAGTGCTGACATCTTGGTATCATACTTAGTAACTGACCATTTTTATATTATTTTAAATTATCTTTTTAAATATAGTGAAACCTATGTGTATTCTGTACTTGAGAATAACATTTAATTAGTCATCTTTCAGTGTTTAGATCAGTAGTTGAAGTTGGAGTTGCTTACCCTACTGTAAAGCGAGGGCAGAATTTTTATATATTGATCTTGGAAATATTACAAGTGCCTGGAACAGCTAGCAAACCTTTGATAAATTTTTGTTGAACTGGAATCAGATCGATTCCTTGGCTATTTATCCTGTGATTATAAAACAACCCTACTGAAGGGTCCCCACCAGTAAGATGGCAAACTTCCGGCTTCTCTTCGGGGTCCTCAGTTTCCGCCGGCGCCACCTGAAGCCCAATCACCTCTCGCCCCCCTCCCAATCCCAGCACCTAGCCAACAGCCAACAGCCCCGTAGAAGTGACACCTCAATCAATTCATGCCCCCTCCTATATAACCCAGCACCTTTCCCTAATAAAGCGGAACTCTCCGGTGAATTGCTGCTATGTGTCGCTCCTTTCCTTTCATTGGTGCCGAAACCCGGGAGACGGGACACCCCAACTGGGCCCCGTCTTCCCCCGACACCAGCAGCAGCTTGCCCTCGTCCTCTTTTTCCGGCGCTGGCTCATCACACTCACCACTCCTCTCTGGCCTTTAGGTAAGTTTTCCCCCCGGAGTGGGCCACTCTTCCCCGAGCTATCGCAGTGCCATTGACCGTGATCGTCCGGCAAGGCCCTGACGCTCGGGGATGAGGAGGGAACGCTCCCCGCCTCAGGCCTTCACGGCTGCGGCGGACCCTCAGGCCCCTCCCCAAACAGCCATAAAT